GTGCGACTTTTTTTCTTCTTTTGATATTGATTTTATAAGACTTATTCTTTCAGGAAGGAAACTTAACGTTTTTCTCTCCAGGGTAATAGTGGCTGGCTACTGAAGAAAATTTAATCGTTTACTAAGTCTGAAATTACAGGTTATTATATGGTTAGTTATGAGCATTTATAGTGCTTACTAATAGTTATATTTCTGTTTTTTCGCTTCAGTCGAGAAAATAATAAGAGTAGTATTAGAAGCACCATTGTGAGCTAGCATGTGATTTTCTAAGAACGAGTGATTAGGAAAGTTAGACAGACAGAGGAAAGAAAATGAGTACATTCTAAAGTTGCCATTAAAATGAAGCACTTTTTAAGTGTCTGCAGTTGTTGAGACTAAGTTTACAGACTTTTTAAACTGAAAACATTGTTTGATAATTCATTCTGTTACTAAATGTGGCGTGATACAGAAAAGGTTTTTCGTCTGGTTGTTGTTGCAAAGATAGAACTGTCGGTTCATTTCAGTCTTTTCAATTTTGTTTCACAGTTTATACGGACTTTTGATTTTTCTGCTGCCATTTATTAATAGTGCTTGATTTTAATTAACTCACTTGCGATATTTCTTGATTGCAGACAGAAATGGAAGGTTCTGCTGGAATACAAAAGAGCTGTCTTTGAAATGAGTTCTAATATTCTTTCCACATTTAAACAATTTAGTTTTAGAAGAATCAAAAAGTTTTAACAAATAAGACTGCAAACATGCAGTTATTTTTGTGTATTCAAAAAGAATGATATCAGTTAAAAATAGCTAATAAATATCTGTAAAGAATCAAAGGAAGGAACAGAATATAGAATATGCAGCTTTTAATCACCTAAGCTAAACCTTTTGACAAAATATGGAAACTTTGTACTTCCCTGTATCAAGTAAAAAGGAACTATTGTATTCGCGAAAAATTTCGGGTATCATGTTTCAACGAAAATATCCATTTTTACTGCTATCGAATGTAATTTAACAATGTTTTTGCTTGACATCTGTACGTAAGGACAGAATAAAGGACTCTTTTTCTCCAAACGAATTATAAAACTGATTTAAAATGGATTCTTGAGAGATTTTTTCGTGGCGTCTGTACGTACGTATGTATGTATGTATCTCGCATAACTCAAAAACGAGTTGTCTCAGATCGTTGAAATTTTGTATACAGTACTCTTATTACGCGTAGATGTATGTGCACCTCCTATTTTGGTTGCAATCGGCCGCACCAAAAAAAAAAATGTAATTTTTGGGTGAAGTATTATAATTAAAATGTACTGAAATTCTTCATCGGCTAATTCTGGATAAAAAAATAAAATAAAATAAAATAAAATAAATAATAATATAAAAAAAAGATTTTTGTAGAAAAGAGATTTCAATTGAATTCAATGTTCCTTTCCCATCATGAAGTTGATTGAGTTACTCTTCTGTTATCTGTTATATTCGTTTTTCTTTTTATTTCTGTGAGGACATTTTTTTGAATTGGGATACTGATTACATATGTAAATACAAAAAATTCTTTTGAAAACAAAATGTAAACATGCCTAATATTTTCGCGCATTAAGCTGCAGAAAAATTATTATTAAAGACATAAAGTAAGAAATTCAAAACTTTCAGTCAGTTTCTACGCCTTTTTTTTTCACAAAGACCAAAAATTCAAATTCATCATTAATAAATTTCAAATAATTGCAACAAAGAATTTTAAAATGTTAAAACCAAAACATTTCAAACAAGCAAAATTAAAAAAAAAATAATGAAATTAACCATTTAAAAAAATTAAAAAAAAATAATGAAATTTAAAGAAAAATGAACAAAAACAAAAGAGGAATTCAATCAACTTCAATGCTATTTCGTCAGGGGGAAGGAACATTGAAATCAATTAAAATCTCTCTTCTACAAAAATCCTTGCCTTTACTTCAAATTTATTAATTATGAATTTCAGTTTTTGGTCTTTATGAAATATTAATTCTAAATTTCTTTCTTTATATATATATATGAAAATTTATAATTATATATATGAAAATTTATAGTAAATTAAAAAGCCTATGATTTGCGCTAAAGCTGCAAAGCAATAATAAATTTTCATATATTGCTCTCAAAATGATTGAATTATGTTCTTCTTATCTTTCGGTTAAGGATTTTATGCCTTTAGTTAACCTCATGTTATAGTTTTAGAATTATCAAAAATTTAAAAGTTTTTTAAGCAAGGCTAAACCTAATTTTTTTACCCTATCAGCTATATTTGTTTACATTGGAAACTTAGTAGAATAGTGGATTTGCTGCCAATCTAGAGAAACTAAGCTTCGCAACAACAAAGTAATGCCTTCTTTTATTATTGCGAATTAAATTATGCGTAATCCATCCTGGAACTATCATTTAAGTTAGTAAATTTTCCTATATATTGACTTAGCATAGCGTCTACAACAAATTCAATCAATTTCTACGCACCCTTTTTTTTTTTTTTTTTTTTTTTTTCCGAGTGAGACCAAAAGTAAACTTTCAGTTTTGCGCACCAAAAATTTGCCTCCTTGTCTGCTGGCCGAATTGCTTGTTTTTAGGTAGAAACTGTAGTTTTAATTGTAAAAACATATTTTTGAATTGTTTTAACTGTATTTGGTGTTTTATGTTTTTCTGTATCTTTCAGTTTTTAATATAGATATTTTTAGTTTTTATATATATATTTTTTTGCCTTGTCGCGAAGTGAGAACTGAATTAATTGAATGAGAACCATATCTGTCATTCAATTAATTCAGTTCATAGGCAGAGGCTGAATATGCAGAGGCAGAATTAGAGAAGACATAAAAATGCGCAACTCGCTCTGTTTTGAAGTTCTAATTCTAAATAAAAAGGATAACAACTCTAAAGTAATAAATAATTTAAAACAGTATTTCTTAAACTTTTTTTCAGTCGCGACCCTTTTTTATCACTCAGATTTTTTCGCGACCCCCAGGGCGCATAATATTTACGAAAATTTTGTGGGACCTCATAAGCATTGCGCAAATTCGACACATGCATGTGTAAAACTGTCAATTTTTTCACTTGCACTTTAATATACTATTGCAGTTTTAGGTCATTAATTTTAGTTTCTAATTTTAAGACATAGGACAATGTGAAAATTTTAAATAAGTAACAGACGAAATGATAGCTTCACGTGATAAGCAAGTAAAATGAACGCTTCTAGTATAAAAAGAATGCATCAAAAGGTTTTCATTTTTTCTTTGTATGTATTGTCTTATCTTTATTTATTTTCAGATACATTGTGTAAAATTATTTGGTAATTGTAAAATTATTATAATAAGTTAAAGAAATATCAAAACTGCTAAATTTTTGGCGACCCCCTGCTGCACGTCGCGACCCACAGTTTAAGAGACGCCGATTTAAAGTAGTTAATCAGAATTTTACTATACGAATGAAAGAATAACATCGGGTTTTAACGAAAGTTTCCCGCCACCGCAAATATCGTCTGTACAATCAGTTCGCGTTAGCGTGTTTAATCATATTTTGTCAAACGATTTTTGGCATTTGAAAGAAAGAGATTTGTTTTAGCACACTGTTTTTGGAAATTTGTAAAAAAGTATCGTTATTATTAAATACATTGTGAAATTTGTAAAAAAAAATATCGTTATCGTTAAGTAAAAGGTGTCTGAAATGCAGCTATCATGTTACCAGACTAGAACCATTACTTACTTCCAGTTCTGTTTCAAGAAGTCAGCTACAGAATGTCACCAAATCCTGTGTATAGCTTTAGGTACTAATGTTGTATCATATGATACTGTGAAGGTTTGGCACTGAAAGTTCAAAAACAAGGTCTATGAAATTCAATAAGCATAGCGTTCTGATCGGCCTACTGATGTTGCTGAAGCCCGCCTGCGAGAACTTGCGGAAGAAGATTAGTATGCAACCACTTGAGAGCTCTCTAAAGAGTTAGACCAGTGTTTCCCAACCTTTTTTGTGCTATGCCCCACCTAATCCTCTCCAAAATTTTTAAGCTCCCCCTAGCATATACATAATTTTTAATATTTAAAAATTGAAATGTTCACGAAAGAAACTTGAATGATGGCTTTTAGGAAGAAATGATGACTACGAAATTTTGTGAGTAAACACAGTAAGTGAACTTTAAAAACGTGGAGAACTGAAATTCAAGAAAAAACTCATTTTAGTGAATTTTTTTCATTTTAAGTATTAGTAATTTTTATTATTTAAATTAAGTGAGTTCTTTGCGCTTGATACTTGCTACAAAGAAATTTTATGTCAGGTTCCAATTTAGATAACTTGAGTCTCAAGTCTCCCGGTTTCATTATATCCAACCGATTTCTTTCTTTCTTTCTTTTTTTTTTATTTATTTTTTTTTTCTAGCAACAAATTATTTATGGCAATTAAATAAAGTTTTAATTGACTCCTCATTTTGCATTTCTGCGAGTTCTTCTTTTCACTGCATATTTGAAATATCAGCCAAATCCACTAGCATTGGCTGCATTATCCAAGTTGGAAAATCAATTTGTTTTAAGGTATAAAATCTTTTAAATCAGCTGATAAAATTTTCATATGATTGACAATAACAAGTATAGCGGTAGTCACGTAACATTTTGGGAGCCAATGAGACTTTTCAAAATTTCTGTGGTATATGCCTGACATAATTCAACAAAGATAATGAAACCGAATATTTTCCTTTTGCATCGACATAAGTTTTATTTGCTCCTTGAAGTTGTTTATTTAATATACAGTAGAAGTCCATTAGTCCATTAGTCCAACAGTCCGGAATGCCCGATAGTCCGGCATCGCTCCGGAAAATTGTAAAAATTTTGGTTTTCTCCAAAAGTGTGTCTTTAAAGCAAATAAAACCGCTCGAGAGCTTTTCGGGGTAGTTCGAGATCATCCGGAAGCGCTCGGTATTGTTCGGAAACAATTAGCGGCCGGCTAGTCTCAGCTGTCACAACAAATTCAGGTGCAGTGCAGCTCCGTTAATCAATCACGAAGCGTCTTCACCATTTTTTTGTGCGTTGTTGTTTTGTGTCCTTTCACATCGCAGTAAACGTAACTTTTGAAACTGTTTATAAAAAAAGTGATTTTCGTTCTAACTGTACAGTGACCATGTTTTCAAAACCTAAGCCTTCGAGTTCAAAAGGAGAGAAACGAAAACACATAACACTGACTCTCAATCAGAAACTAGAAATCATCAAACGGCTAGAAAAAGGCGAGAATAGAAATGTTTTAATGAATCAGTTTAATATTGGCTCATCAACTATTTATGACATTAAAAAACAAAAAGATGAACTAATGAAGTTTGCTTCTCAATCGGTAACAACTGAAAAATTGGCTTCTAGACAAACATTAAAAAAACCAAAACTGGAACAGCTAGATAGTGTATTGTTCAAATGGTTTAGTGCAGTACGTTCTGAAGGAAAGCCGGTAACAGGGCCAATGATTGTTGAAAAGGCAAAGAAATTCGGCCAAGATTTAGGAGTTGCTGAAAGTGAATGTAATTATTCTGATGGTTGGCTCAGAAACTTTAAGTTTCGGCATGGAATTCGAAGACTTGATGTAACTGGAGAAAAACCCTTTCAGCAAACCAAAACTCTGCAGAAAAATACAAAGATGAGTTTGAGAAAATCGTGGCTGATAATGATTTAACACTTGAACAGATTTACAATGCTGATGAAACAGGGCTATTGTGGCGATGTTTACCAACATCTACACTAGCTGGGGGAGGAGAAAAAGCAGCCAAGGGTTTAAAAAAAAACAAAGACAGATTAACCGTTTTGCTATGTGCTAATGTGTCTGGAAACCACCGAGTGACCCCTTTTGTGATAGGTAAATCTGCAAAACCCAGGGCTTTTAAGAATGTTACACACTTGCCTGTCCAATACGATGCTCAATCAAATGCGTGGATAACTGCCGCCCTCTTTAAAGACTGGTTTTTTCACCACTTTGTGCCTGAGGTCAAGGAATCCTTCAAAAGCCTTGGTCTACCAGAAGATACTAAAGCCATCCTTCTTTTGGACAATTGCGAAGCCCATCCGCCAGTAGATGAGTTATTTTCTGGAAATATTGTTGCTACTCTGCTCCCACCTAACGTAACATCTTTGATTCAACCCATGGACCAAGGGGTTATTCAAAATTTTAAATGCTTTTATGGAAGGTCTTTTATTCAAGGCCTGTTAAATGCCGACTGTGACGTGACTGATTTTCAAAAAATGTTTACAGTAAAAGATGCCGTCTATGCTATTGCGTCTTGGAACCAGGTAAAAAATACAACACTCCAAAAATGCTGGAGAAAACTTTGGCCAGCTGCAAACCCTGCATCTGACCTACTTCTACAGACTGATGAGGAAGAAAACCATCAAGACGCTCTGACCAAAGTTTTGGATGTCGTTAGAAGTACTGACAATCCCTTGAAAAACCTGCCTGAAGATGAGGAGGTAGAGGAGTGGGAGTGGCTTTAATCGACGAGAATGAGCCTGTTGAACAAGAACTAACCGATGAGGACATTATCAACATTGTAGTAAACCCTCAGCCTACTCAAAATCTTGAAGAAAATGACTCAGATGCCGAAACGGAAGAAAAGAAAGAAAAAAAAATCAGCTGGGCAGAAGCTGCAGAATCACTAAATAAGTTTATCTCTTTTGCCGGGGCTAGTACTAGCTACAGTGCTTCAGAAATTATTGATTTCCATATCATTAGAAATAAATTTTATACTAAACGCCAAAAGTCAAGAAAACAAAAAGACATTCGTGACTTTTTTAAATCTAAGTGAAATATGTTTTATAGTACGTGTACATACATTATATGAAATGTAAAATAAACTTTGTTGTATGTATTTGCATACTGTATTTTTAGTTTAATTATTAACCTAATTGTTCTTATAATTACCGCCCGATAGACCGGAATTTTCGGTTGTCCGGCACCGAGCCGGTCCCGAACGTGCCGGATTATCGTACTTCTACTGTATTTAATTTTTGAAAGATATCGGCTAAATAACTCACAATTGCCTTGTTATCATCCGTTAACGGATTTTTCATTTCAGGTTTGTTGCTTAAAAAATAACTAAGAGTATCAAATAGTTCCATAAATCTTTCCAAGCAGTTCCCTTTCGATAGCCTTCTTACTTCAGTGTGAAGTACAAGTCTCGTATAGTCTTCATTTTGTTCTCCATAAAATAACTTGAAAAGACGTTCACATTTGGCCCTAGCTTTAATAGCATTGATACACTTTATAACTGAATTTAGCACTTCATTTAGAACAGGCGAATTGTTTTTAGCTACCAGGTTTTCTCTATGAATAACACAATGCACAAGAAGCATTTCTGGATTCTCATCTTTTATCAATTTTAAGCAACCCTTTTTCTTATTCCCTGCTTTATTTTATTTTTCAACCATCATATTAGGAGCACCATCTGCAGTACAAGATGTATTAAATTTTTTATTAGTATATTTTTTATATCTAAGTAATTTTTTAGCTTACTGTAAATATCTTTGGAGGTAGTGGTGCTTATAATTGATTTACAGAACATTTCTTCGGCAAAATCCCCTTTATGAATATATCTTCTTACATAAGTTACAAGTACGGCTTCACTGTCTCTCACAGTTGGTTCATCCATTTGCACCGAAAATTTTCTTGTTTTCAGCTTTTCAACAAGTTGTATTTCAATATCCTCACTCATTTAATCTTTCTTCTGCAAACAGTATTGTTATTTAGTGGCATACTTTAACGGCATTACCATCTTTTTTTAGAACAGTTTTAAATGCTGATATTGATGGTTTGATTCAATTCTACCCTATAGTACGGCTTTTCCCAGATTAAGCGATGAGTAATGAAATTTGATAAATAGCCTCAAGAGCTCGATTAACAGTTGCATTATGAGCAGTAAATAGCGACTTTAATATTACTCTTTTTTCAAAATTTTTCCTTAAAGTGTGAAAGTAATTTAAATCTGAATTAATATCAGCATTATGTTTCGCCTTCAAATGTGCCTCAAAACGACCTAGTTAAATTGATTCGTTGGTCAGGCATTATTGGCATAAAATACAAAAGTTGACCGTTTAATGGACCGGGTATGAAACCAAATTTTAAATATGCCTCCGAATAACGTCGAACGTTTTTTTCTTGCTTCATTTCACTAAGGGCTGAAAGAAATAACTATAAGATCAATATAAACAATGCTGGAAGCAGCTGCTGTTGCCATTCAAGGAAAGAGTAATATACCGGTTGCCATTTCTACAGTAAAAAATAAAATAAATTCATTGGCTGAAATGTGCGAGAAACGTGTGGAAAACATAATGTGTCAGTTATTTAAATGCCTTTAAAAGCATTTAAATGTCCATGTTTACAGCGAGAATTCTTTATAAAATATTTAAAATGCACCTCAATTTAAAAACTTTTTTACGTATGCATCACTTACATTTTTCTTTATTTTGGGGAATAAAAAATGAAATTTCGAAAAATTTTGACTTCAACATATTTAGAACGAAATTTGGCCCCTTAAACTATGGATGAGTCCATTTTCAAATTGCCTCCCTTCACAGTCGCATTGCCCCTTATAGTGCGTGGGCCCCACGTTGGGAAACACGGAGTAGACATTAATGCCATGTCCATTAGTCGCGCTATGCATCGCTGGTTGCCGCATGAGCTGACTCAAGCGGATAAGGGCAGGCGTGTTCGGGGCCACGATCTGCTCGAATATCAACGCAAGGACAAAATTCTGGACCCGATCGTCATTTGTGATGAAAAGTATATTTACTTCAACAACACAGGCCGAAAAAAGGGGGTTAGTTTGCGCCCGATAAGCCCGTCGTCAGCGTCGCAAAGCGCAATTTGACTAACAGAAAAATCATGCTTTGTATCTGCTGGAATTGCCCTATTATTAACCGCAAAGATTATCTGGAAAAAGGTAAAACCCTCGACAATAAGGTGTACAGCGAGTGGCTAGTCCGTGTTAATACTGCTATCAAGGAAAAATATCGAACTAAATTACGGCGAAAAAGTGTTCCATCAAGATAACGGCAGACCACATGTGTCTGCATTCACCGGCAGGACTCTGTACAGACTCGAATGGGATCTTTTGCCACACCCACCATATAGCCCCGTTATCGTTCCTTCGGACTTCTAACTTTCTTCACACTTGCAGCTACATCTAGCTGGTGATATCTTCCACTCTGCACTAAACGTCCTAAATGAGGTTGATCTGTGTTTGGACTCGCGATCACCAAGTTTCCGGGCCGAAGGTTTTGCAAAACTATTAAAACGTTGGCAGAAAATCATAAATTTGTGTGGTGATTACTATCCGCACTAAAGGTTACTGCTTAAATGTTTTTTTTTTTTTTTTTTTTCCCTAACTTTATTAAGAACGGGTTTTGGCGGAAAACTTTCGTTACAACTAGATATTTATTTATTTATTTATTTTTTACAAATGGATTTCTATATCTGTAGAGTAGACAGGTTAGGACAAATCTGCAGAAGTGAATCACGCAGTTTATTGAAATACCTGAATATCGAATTGTTGCTATTCTGTTATGCATCGAATAATTTGGAATTATCGTTTCAGGTAATTTGCTTCATATTGATAAAATTCTGAGTAATGCTTGTTTGACGATGTGATCTCTTAAAATTTTGTAAAATAATCCTCAGCAATCTTTAACGCCAAGTACAGCTATAATGATATCATTGCGCAAGCGGTCATTTACTAAAAAGCCTGTTTTTGGTATCAACAAGGCAAACTATCCAACCGTGATATCAAGCGGTACTTCCGGAAGTTTTTAAAACGTTTTTTATTGATTGCGCATCGTCACAGTGAATGTGAGTCAATAAAATCAATTTTGTGTTTTCAAGGAATGGAACCTATGTTTATTGAGAATTTACTTTTAATGTAGTTACATTATTTTTTGATCTGCTTTACTATGTTAATCAAATTCGCCATTTCCCCAAATGAACGAGCTATTTCTTTTTGACTGAATTTCCTGTTTCAGAGAAAATCAGAATACAAATTTTGTATTTAGTCATCCTAAATTTTATCTCCGGAGAATTAGGTTTTAGCATATAAAAGAGCTGGAATTATTTTTACGCTGCAGAAAATTAGTTGCTGTGAAAATGAGGCTCTACTGCCATTTCGTGCTGAATAAGATTTTTTATTTGCCTTCCAAATTACACCAGCAGGTTAGTTATCACTAACAAAGTGCAAAACATATATTACTTCAGCTATATAATGTACATGTAGGTAGAGCCATCAAATTTTGAGTAATGTAATCAATCCTCCACACGAACATGGGCGCCCGGAAGCCCGAAATTTTGAATTTCAGTTTTGTTTTATCATCTGTTTCATTTTTTTGTAAAACTTCAGTTTTGTTTTATCATCTATTTCATTTTTTGTAAAACGATTTTCTGATTAACAAACTCAACGATTTCAAAGCGAGCAATGAGAACTGTACGGGGGAGGGGGGAAAAATATTTTCAACTTGCAAGTCTGTCTATCGGAAATTCTAAAGATATGGTGTTTTTAAATATTTTGTGGTATTACTGTTGAATTGAATTTCACGTGGTTTAAGTGCGAAGAACATGATATTTAGTAAATTCAGTTAACGCACAAAATGTTAAAAAGAACGCCCTTTTGGGCGTAATATAAAATATGAAAGCTTTCAGATTTTTTGTTTCCCATGCTTGAAAGTCCTGACAATAAGTAGATTTAGTAAATGGCTAAGGAATTGTAGATTTAATTTGTTAACATATCCGTACTTTGATTAAATTTAAGCATTAAAAATCTGTGCTGAAGTTACCTTGTTAAGACTATGAAGTAACAATTTATGTGATGAAATATTGTTGCACTGTATTGTTATGTTGTTCTTCCCTAGGTCATCATTTTATACAGTATTACGTAATGTTTAGGTAGTGATTCCTTTTAAATATTTGCAAAAGTTCGCGTTTTTTTTTTTTTTTTTTTTGTTTTTGTTTTGTTTTTTGTTTTTAATGAAGGCAATGCTAAGGTGAAAAATTTGGTTGGATAATTTGATAAATGCTACTAATAAATGAAATTTTAAAAATGCGTATTTAATAATTATAGTTATGAACCACTCATTTTACTTACTTGATAGCGTGGATTCTTCAAAATAAAATAATTTGTTCTTCGCGTAGCGCTCATTAATAGGTTGTGCACTTTACTAGCTGTTTCAGTAAGCATATAGTGAAAGAGAAATAAATTGCGTTTATTATTTTGTACCACTTACTTTATTATGAGTTCACGAGAGGTTAATTGATGTGTAACATGATTCGTGGAAGAATTTTCCGGTTTCTCCGCGTTTTGTATGGGGTGCAGTACCGGGATTAAAAAAAAAAAAAAAAAAAAAAAAAAAAAAAAGATTCTTATTACAAACGCAGCTGTCTTCCAGCCAGACAGAAAACTCTGGTTATGTGTTGATGTTTTGAAGACCTTGAAATGTGCATTGAGGGAAAACGT